ACCCAGCCCCACCACCACCTTCAGGCGTATGGCTGCATGGGTCTCCCAGACGTCTTTTGTGATGTGTACATGCCCTCTGCTGGTGTATGAATGTCCTTTTGGTTGTGTCTTAGAGGGGAGAGTCCAAGGGAAGAGCTTGCTCCGCTGTTATGCTGACGTCACTCCTGGAGTGCATCCTTAACGCTCATTAACAGAGGCTCCTTATCTGCACTGAATCTGAACCTCTTAATTCCACTGGAGCTCAAGTCCATGGCTACCATGTTTTAGTCTGTCAGCAGACTGTAAGATAGGGCCTTGAGCTGTATGTGAATAGTGTTGTGAACATCAAATGGACTTGAATGCTGAGGTGAAAGAAGAGCTAGCTATACCAATGCTGACTACTGAAAGCTTATTAAAAGTGACAAATCTCTAAAATCTGAGACACCAGTAGGAATATTCAGTGCACTTTTAGGCACTTGAGATAAACCAGATTGAAGATCAGAGGTCAAAGGTAAAGGAGAATGTTTCAAATAAAGTGAAGGATAAGTCTGAGCTGTGTATCTGTGTGTGCATATCCTCTCAAAGCAATGGCCCGTCACTGGACAAAGCCAACATATCAGAATGGTAATCAGTTGCTTCTCTTATATCTGTGCCAGCATAGTTATCTGTGTAATATATTAGCAACATTTTCTTGTGACTAGTCACTAAGATGCTTAATTGTTTGTCTTCCTAAAACTGCCTGTAATCTTTGCCTCAACTAAGGGATGGTTTCCTCCTCATCTCTTGCCTTTCCAGTTTTGTAGAAATGGTGTTGACGTTTGAAGTTAGCAGGTGCAATACGGTTTTGCATCAGGTTCCTGGGCTTACTGTGCATGTCTCTATTTCTTCATCTTTCGTCCTTCTTCCTGGAAAAGTTAGCAAAATTTAATTTTTAGTTTTTCAAAGTAATGCAGGCACAGAACTTGAAAAGACAACTAGTGCTCAAAGACTTATAACAAAACACGGAGTTCCCTGCCCCACCCCTCTTACTCCTCCCATCCTCCATCCCAAGAGGCAACCCCTCTTCTTTCTTTTAGTCAATTATTTTGGCACTTACCTATTTCTGAATTTTGAAACAATATGTGTATACTGCTATCGTTTTTATTCAGAAATTTTGGATATGCTCTTTTGACCTCTTGTAATGGTAAGTGAGGGTTAAACTGTTTAATACCATCAGCCCCTCTCCCTCCCCCATTCTCTCAGTATAATTTCATATTATACATTTTTATTAAATTAATATCCAGTGTTTGTTTTATGCCTATGCGAATTTTACTCACAGTTGAGTGCTGTGGTGCATTGTGATAGTTTCCTTCCTTTTTTGGGAGGAGGGGGTTTCTTTTTTCTTGAAGATAATTATTACCTCCTTTCATTGCTTAGTTTTCCTTGTACCTCTTGTCAGTTCTTCCTACAGCATCCAATTAGCTCTCAGTGCAGTGTTCCACGAGGGAAATCCCATCAAGCAATCCATCAGTTCTAGCATGTTTTGCTTGGGTACATCCATCCTGGAGACAGCCATTCTGTTGTCTGTGCTGGTTGGTCCTTGGCTGACTGCATCCTTCACTCTAGGACTTCCTCTGCTGTCATCCTTCAGATTTCTGCGGCCTTTCTCTTGGATTGGATTCCTTGGTTCCACAGTCTCTTCATTTCTTCTTTCTTTGCTCTTTCTCTTATTTAGGTAGACCACATCCCCCAGAAGGTGCTTTGGGTTAGAAAGAGAGTACATGGGAGAGGATAATGGTGATGACAGTCAACTCAACATGCCAGGCTCGAGTCCCACTGCTCTGATCTGGATTGGGTACTGTATGAGTTTCCTAGGGCTGCTGTGACAAATTACTACAAACTTAGTGGCTTAAAACAACACCAATTTATTTTCTGATAGTTCTGGAGGTCAGGAGTCTGAAAATGGTCTTTCTGGGCTAAAATCAGGATGACGCTGGGGCTGTGTTTCTGGAGGCTCCTGGGGAGAATCTGTTTTGTAGCCTTTGTCAGCTTCTTGAGGCTGCCCCACAAACCTTGGCTTGTGGCTCCTTTCCATCTTCAAAGTAAGAATGGCTGGCTGAGTCTTTCTCACATTGCATCACTATGACGCGACTCTTCTACCTCCCTCTTTCATCTTTTAAGGAACTTTGTGATTACATTGGGTACCCCTGGATAATCTCCCTATTTTAAGGTAAATTGATTAGCAAGTTTAATTCCATCTGCATCCTTAGTTCCCCCTTACCACATAGCATAATATACTTACGGGTTCCTGGAATTAGGACATGGACATCTTTAGGGGGCTATTATTCCACCTACTAGTTACTCTGTACACTTGGTACAAAGTTGTTGTCCTGGGATCTCCCCTCACCATCACTCTAGGGTAATTCCCATCTATTCTGTCCTGCCCTGGAGCACCATCTTCTGTATCTCTTCTTCTTTTTCCTTTTTTTTTGCTGGGAAAGATTCACCTTAAGCTAACATCTGTTGCCAATCTTCCTCTTCTTTTTCCTCCCAAAGCCCTAGTACATAGTTGCATATTCCAGTTGTAAGTCCTTCTAGTTCTTGTATGTGAGCCACCACCACAGCATGGCTGCTGACAGATGAGTGGTGTGGTTCCACGCCTGGGAACCGAACCCAGGCCACCGAAGTGGAGCACACTGAACTTTAACCACTAGGCAATCAGGACTGGCTCTGTGTCTCTTCTTTCTTGGTTTGCTCCCTTGTTTAGGTAGAACCTCTTTTAGTAGCTTCCAGAAAAATGATGGATGGTAAATTTTTTGAGACTCTGATTTTTTTTACCCTCTGACTTGATTTGGTTGTTTGTCTGTGTATAGAATTCTAGGTTAGAAATCATTTTGCTTTAGAATTTTGGAGGCATGGTTGCATTGTCTTATTGCTTCCAGAATTGTTTTTGAGAAATCTGAGGCAATCCTGATTCTTGCTCTTTTCTCTATTTCCTGTTTTACTCCTCTGCTCTGCCAGTTGTAATATCTTTTCTTTACCCAGTGTTCTAAAATTTCACAATAACATGCCTTGGCGTAGGTCTGCTTTTATCCACTAAGGTGGGCCTTGGAGCACCATTTCAATCTGAAAACATACATCCTTTGGTCTTAGTAAATTTTCATGAATTATTTCACTCTTGAGTCCCCTTGTCTGTGTTTCTGTTATTATCTCTTTCTAGAATGGCTATTATTCAGATGCCAGACTGTCTGGGTTGATTATATATATAGCTTCTATTTTTTTGGCTATTTTTAATATTTGGCTTCTGTTTTCTATATCTTTATCTTTTAGCTATTCCTTCTGAGAGATTTCCTCAACTTTATCCTTCAACTTTTCTTTTGAGGTTATCATTTCTATCATATTTTTATTTTCTAAGAACTGTTTTGGTTCTCTCAACATTCTTTTTTTTTTTTTAAAGGAAGATTAGCCCTGAGATAACATCCATGCCCATCTTCCTCTACTTTATATGTGGGATGCCCGCCACAGCATGGCTTGATAAGCAGTGCATAGGTCCATGCCCAGATCTGAACCAGTGAACCCTGGGCTGCCAAAGTGGAGCACATGAACTTAACTGCTGTGCCATTGGGCCAGCCCCTCTATTGTTCTTTATAGCATCTTGTTTATTGGATGCAATATATTTTCTTATTCTCTAGTGATAGTTTTAAAAGACATTTTCTTTTCTAGATATGGTTTCTGTTTCTCCAAGTGGCCTTTTTCCTGCTTGTTTTGCTTTCTGTCTTCTATTAGGGAGGTCTTCCTCAGATGTCTGGTACCTTGGTTGTGTGCTCAGGATTAAGGGCTTGCTACTGAATGGAAGCTCTGCCTGAGCTGGGAGGGGGCAGTGGCTTGTTGACTTTGAGTTTCACTTCCGGGTGAGCTGGGTGGGCTCTTTGTTTGGGAATCCTCAGTATGGGTAACTTTTGTCGTTTCCATGTGGGCTGGTCAGATTCCCCAGAAAAGCTTTCCTGTCTCTTGTGTGGAGGGTAAGGTTCTGCGAGCAGAGATGGGTAGGAGGGCAAGAGTCTCACATTTGCATGTTTATTGTCTCTCAGTCTCTTGTTTGTGATGATACTCACATCCTCACATGTGCTTCTAGATTTCCAGGCCCCCAAATGTTCTGTTGTGCCTTCTCAAGTGAATAAACTTTCAGACTCCTGTTGTGGTGGTGGTGGGGCGGGGGCGGTCCAGGGACCTAGCTAAAGCTCTCTCTTTTTCTCTCCTACTTCCAGAGGTGCCAACAGGTGATCTTTTTCAAGGATTCTGTTGTATAATTAGGATTGGTCCTCAGCTTCTCCCACTGCTGCCTTAGAATTTAGTGTTCTCTGGGTCCTGGTGGATTATGCCCTAAACAAATAGCTTACTTTATTTTTAGTTGGGTTTCAAGAAGGAGTGAAATTTGACATGTTCAATTTTTACCTTGAAACTTACTTTAAGTTTGCAGCACTTTTTTTTTCTAGTACAAGCAATACAAGTCAGCTATCCTAATAATTTAAAGTATAACAGCACTACTATTCATAGCTGAGTCATTTATTTAAGAATACGTAAAGAGTACCCCTGAGCCTGGCAGGACTGGGTGCTGGGGGTACAGCGATGAATAAGAGAGTGAGGTCATAGTTTATTGAGTATTCAATAGCAGTTCCTTCTCGACTTCAAACTTGCTTCAAGTGCTCCCTGGTGGCCAGCTAGGATCTCAACCATCCTGGCTTTGTCTCCTTGTCCTTTCCACACCACGCTCTGGGGATTTATGTGCTGTAAATACCCACAGGGTGAATCAGATTTCCTTCTTCAGGCCCGTACACTCCTGGCCAGCTGGCTCCATCCCCAGATTCTTTCCCCATCCAGCCCTTTTCTCCCCATTTCACTGCCATTATTTGTTGACTCCTGAGTTTGTCAAGGAGGCCAAGAGGCATGTGAGGCTCCCTGAACTGAATGTTCTTGTTGCAAGTATGGCCTGTGCTCACATTCCTGACACGGAGTCTGATCTGCCCTCCTCTCTCTTGCAGGTCAGAGACGCCATCATGGCAGCTGGCATCGCAGGAGTGGGCCTGGCAGCTGTGGGCCTCATTGGAGTCTTGTTCTCAAGAAACAAGCGACAAAAGCAATAAGTTGAAGGGACTGTCCTGTCTGCAATGACTTTATATATTAAGGGGGGTGTCTTGTTTGGCTAGAAGCTTTGAGGTTTGGTTTGTGGATTTCATTCTGTTTTATAATAAGGCTTATTTTCACAGAATAAAATAAAGCCCAAGAAGGCAAGATTTTACTGGAGGAAATGCAGCAAGAACTGCCTAGTGTGAAGTCTGTTGAGGGCACACGCTGGGCTCTGTTCCTGGTTGTGTCCTGGCTCTTTGATGATTTTCTCTCACTTTCTCTTTGCTGGCTGCATTCTTTACCTTGCAAGAAACAGAGACCAACTCTGGTTATCTCAAGTAATGGGGGTTTCTGGTTGTAAGGATACACTTGGGCGGCAAGATGGATAGACCTGACTGATGAAGAACAGGATCCACCGGATAGCCAGGACGCTTGGCCTGGATCTAGACCCAGGAGGGCTTCTAGGACTTGGCCGCTGGAGTCTGTAGATGTTCAGTGGCGTTCAAACCAAACCAAACCAAACCTGTGCCATAAGGAAACTCAGTATATGCTCTTGCCAGTTTTGTTAAAACTCCTTATCTCCCTCTGCTCCCTCCATCTTTTCTCTGCCCTGTTGCTTCCACCTTCAGTGGTCCTGCTTCCTTACCACTTGAGCTTGTGCCCCCTCCCCGTCTCTGATCCCACACCCCCTCCCTGCGGCTTTTCTTCCTGCATCAGCTCAGCACCGTCTCTCCCCGCTACCTGCTTGGCGCTCCCAGTTCAAGTTCCCGAGAGAGCATCTGATTGGCTCAGCTCACATCCTAGCTCAGCCTACCCATTGGCTGCCGTTGGGTCAGGTGACTCTACTAGGCCAATCAACTCAGCTCAATGGGGCGGGGTCCCATGGTACTAAGTTGCCTCCGCCTTTATGGGGTGAAGGTGCGGCAGGCCTCGTGACTGCTGTCTCCGGGGTGGACTGCTGCGGGAGGGGCTGGTGAGAAGGTGTGAACTCTGACCATCTGTGGCTGGGCCCCTGGGGTCTACTGTTGCTGCTTGCTGGGCTTGGCAGATGTTCAGAGTGACAGTTCTCTGAAAGGGGCTTTTGTGGGTTCTTCAGAAATGCTCTCCTGGGGCCAGCTGTCCTTCAGTCCACAGGGCAAGGCTTCTCTAACTGGTTGCGAATGTTTCCTTTGTCAGCCCTGGTTGTCTGGGGGACCATCTGTCCACTGGAATCCTGGAAGGGATTTACAAATCGCTCCCTGCCAGCTCCTTCCTGCTTGGCTCAAATCTGGTCCAGGATAAACATGTGCCTAGTCTACGCCCCAGTCTTGGTATAAGAGTAGTTTTCTCCAGTGCCCTTTCCTTTCTTTTTGCCTCAGTTGTTGATGGAACATTTTGTGCCAGTTCTCAGGCTCCCCAAACCCAAGGGACACAGGCCAAGCCCAAAGGGTAGATTTCTTGGAGCCCTCTCTCACATGGCATAAAGTGACCGGGATACATAGAATGCAAAGCTCCAAACTAATTATGGAGAAAAAAGCAAGGAGGAAAAATAAACACAAGGAGGCAAAGCAAAAACACCCACTTCAATTAAAAAAAAAAAGAAAAATTACATAAAAAAGTGGGATGTGTAGAAATAACCACATAATGTGGAAGAACTAATTCCAGATATATTGTTAATCATCATCAATATAAATAGATGAAACTTGCCAAATAAAAGACAACCAGCACACTGGATTAGAACACTAATTCAGGGAGTACAATTCACAGCAGATACACTTAAAATATATGGACACAAAGATTGAAATTAAAAGGATGAACTTTTTACATGACAACTAGTCTGTTATGATAAAAAAGTTAATGCTATCAAGGAGAAAAATTGAGCGTGTATGAGAACTGTCCTGAATTGAAAGACGTTGGAGACGAAAACAACTAAATGTGAAAAACAATTATAAAAGCAATTTGGGGTAATTGGGGGAATCTGAGCACTAACTGGGTATTAAAGAATATTAAGGAATTATTAATTTTATTAAGTGTGATAATAGTATTAGTCTTATGTAAACTCATGGCCTAATTAAAAAAAAAAAGATGAAGATAAAGCAAATGTGGTAAAACAATAAGTTTTTAATGTAGGCAGTAGGTGTGTGGGTGGTCATCATACTAGTCTTTATAGTACTTTCTCTGTGTTAAAAAAGCTACGTAGTAAACATCTTTAAAATATCTGAAATTTGAACTTGACGGTTTCAATAGGACTTTGGAATCTACTTCAGTAAAGTATATAATAATTTTTAAAAATTAAAAGGACAAAACAATATGCTGGGTAAATACTAAGTAAGAACTGGTACACTTGTAACTGTGGGCCCTCCAGGACCAGTTCAACTGACCCCATCTCTTGTCAATAGATTAAGAATTGCGTTCCAGAAAATTTGCAAAGTCACGTAGCCAGAGCATACACAGAAGAAGGAATCTTGAAATGACCACAGAACCAAAGATTCTCCTCCCCACGGATCCAAAGGACCAGGCCGTGACTGGAAGTTAAAAGTCGGACTCTTTTCAGAAGTGAGGGATCCCTCATTCAGGAAGATCTGATGTTAAAATTCCTTCCCCTCCTCATCATCAATGTTCAGAACCCTGTCCTAAATGTTTCAAACCTTACCATAAATGCTTGAAGCCCACCAATCAAAACCTGCCCCACCAGCATTTCTGTGTGCCAGCAGGTTCTCCCTAACCTCTTAAGTTTCACCCCAAATCCTGAATCAGGAAGAGAGATCTCCCTCTGTCTCCCTGAAGATCAATCTTGCAGAATAAAGCTTTCTCCCTCAAGAGCTGATGCCATAATTAATTGGTTTTTAAATGCACATCGGGCAAGGAAACTCCAATTTCGTGTGGTAACAATTTGGTGACAAAGAAGGGACAAGGTCCTGTGACCGCCTGCCCGAGGCTCTGGAACACTCAGCAGGGTGTGAGGTCTTTTCCTTGACCCTAAGTAGCTGCCAACACAACTTTTTCTGGACACTCAGCTGATCAGATGCTTGTTTCCCTGTTGCGGTGCTCCAGACCCCAAGGCATTTTTTTTTCTTTTGGGAGAAGATACAGCTCCTGTATCAAGATGTCTCTGGGCTCTGGGTGAGTAACTTTAAGAAAATGACTGTCCCTTACCTCCTCTCTCTGGTTTGATCTCCTGGAAATAGAAGTTTATCTTGTATCCTGGGGAATCCTGGTGGGCTGAGTTCCAAACCTTGGGCCTGAACCATCCAAGATAATTAGAGGCAGGAAAAAAGCTTCACTCGTGAAGTTGCTTCTGGATCTGGGTTCCGAGCTGCCCCTGGCAATCTGGTTTTGAGTAGCTCCTGGCACTGGTTCTGAGTTACTCCTGGAAAACTAGCTAGTAATTCTGGTCTGTGTTATATGTAGAATTGTACTGTGTGTTAATGGTTGTCCAAATTGTATTGGCTGTTTTGGGGACTGAGTTTCTCGGTGACTGTGACAAACCCTTTTCAGAAATTACCTTGTTTGTTGTGGCCACCTTGGGAAAAGCCTCCTAAAATGAGGATAACTGTAAACAGCTTGGCAAGTTAACCTGGGATAATTTAAAACTACAATCACCATTCTGGGCTCTTTTTGAGCCTCCAAACCAAGAAACAAGGAAAAATCTTTAGAGAGTCAAGGGCTGCCCTTTTGACCGAAAGCTTCCAGAGCTGTAAATGTTTACGAAGAACTTCAGAATCTTACCAAACTTTTTTGTGTCCTGAGGGCTTGGCTTGACAGTCTTCAGATGGGGGAGAGGGTCTCAAAGAATATGGGTGGGCAAAAATGTGTTTGCACCCATTTTGTGGTCAGAGATGGTCAGACAGCAATGCAGGTTGCATCCCCTTTTGTGGCTAAGGGTCCTAGCAAACAGCTGTCAGCCTCAGGGGAATTACCTTGGCCGTTAGAAGGAAGCCTTGGTTTGGCCTTCATTGTGAGGTTCTTGGTTTCAAGGACACCCGATATTTTCGAGATCTGGTTCTAACTGCAGCATAAATATACTTTTGACCAGCTGGGTCTAAATTCTGAAACCATGGGAAATGCTAATTCAATCTCTACCACAGCCACCTAGGCTGCATTTTCCCAAATTGGGTGATTTTAGCTGTGAACCCATGCAACAGGAAAAGGTGATATTCTTTTACACCACCACACGCCCACGATATTCTTTAGACTCTGGAGAAAATGGCCAGGTGATTATTCAGTGACTCTGAGAAATTTTGTTTGAGTCCTCATTGGTTTACTGATGGTTCTCCTTCCAGAGATGGTCACTATTTTCCTTGTCTCTGTCTTTTGTGTCTTTTGTCATAAAAAGGAAAACCACAGGGAAAGACTCAGGCACCTCCATAAGCCTCTTGTCTGGGCTGGTCCTGCAGTGAATTTTGCTGTGGGTTAGTATGTACATGAGGTGAAAGCTGTTGCTTAAGGCATCTCAGAAACAAAAGAGGCCTCAAAATTGGTGGGCATGGGTCAAGCAGTTAAGAGCCATTAGAGCACTCCCCACCTCAAGAAGACTCCTGTGATAGTATAAATTGGCCTCAGAATTGGGTAAAATGACACATGTTCCCTGCCAACCTCAAGAAAGTTTCTATGCAACGAGGTACTCTGTAAAACACACACAATCCCAAACCCTGAGACACCTCCTTTTCAGGTGTGAGTTTGGCTCCCAGAGACCCAAGGCTTAGCTTCAGCTGTTACTGTGCATGTAAGATGAAGTTTTCCTTTTGTCTTGTTCTTTGTCTTGAGAGCTTGGCTTTGTGACCTCTTTGGTCTCTGCCATCTGGAGGATGCACGTACCTGTGGGCATCTTGGCGACTAGTCTGGTAGACGGGGGTTCCAAGATGTACTCTTTGTCCAGCTGTGTCAGCTCTCAGGGGTGTTTGTCATGAGGGGCCTCAGTCCATCAGGGGCCTTTTGTCCTCTCAACCTTTGTTGCTTGTTAGTGCACTGCCACCTATGCAGCGGAGGCCTTTGCTTTCTTGGACTATTTTAGGGGTGAACTGTCTGGGTCTTGTGAGGGCTACTTATTTTGCACTCTCTTTTGGGGATGACTCTTGCATCCATAGTTAAACCATAAAAGGCTCATTGGTTTGAGTTGCTATTAAGATCCTACTTGTCAATGGCCAGAGGATGGATCTTTAAATTGGAAAAACTTCTAAATTGGAAAAGTATTTAGAGAGCTCTTGTAACGACTAGTCTTTTTTTTTTTTTTTAAAGATTTTATTTTTTCCTTTTTCTCCCCAAAGCCCCCCGGTACATAGTTGTGTATTCTTCGTTGTGGGTTCTTCTAGTTGTGGCATGTGGGACGCTGCCTCAGCGTGGTCTGATGAGCAGTGCCATGTCTGCGCCCAGGATTCGAACCAACAAAACACTGGGCCGCCTGCAGCGGAGCACGCGAACTTAACCACTCGGCCACAGGGCCAGCCCCTGTAATGACTAGTCTTAAGAACCAAATCAAATTTGGAATCTCAGCTTCCCTTCTTGGTCTCACAGATGCTAATGAATGCTTCACCTCCCCCACTTCCCTGCCCGGGTAAATTGGTCTAGAATTGAATTGTACACTTGGAAAGAGGGCATTTATTAAATACTTTGTGCAAACTTTTTAAAGGTGTGATACCTTGTCCTGAAGTGTTAGAACATAAAAATGTTTTGATTCACCTCTTAAGTTAAAAATCTCCCTGGTATAAAGAAGCAATTGGAAAAATGTAGATGAAAGGGTGGGTCAACCTCTTTTATCATTCAGACTGTAATCCAGTTCTTTGGGGAACTGGAGACAACCATCTTTTTCTTGCAAATCTGTGCAGGACCAGAGGTACCACTCTAGAAAGTGGTTCACAGTTTACTTGTCCTTTTTCCAATCCCAAAGCCTCCCCTGTTCCTTTCAAAATGCTCATAGATATTGGGATGTTACAAACTAATAAGACAAATATGCCCCAGAAACTCCATCTTGGCGGACACTTGAATGCTTTCTTTGTGCCTTTGTGATGTAGTTGGACAGGCAGATCAACCTATAATGTCATTTAAGTTACAACCCAATCTCTGAGGAATTAAGAGCAACTGTCCTTAAAAAAATCCTTGTAAGACTGGAAGTGTAGCTCTAGAGGTAGTTCAGATTCCAGCCACTTCCCTTATCTCAAAGAACTTGCAAACTCTCCAGGGACTATCTAGCCCATCACCAATTCCTAAGACTGAAGAAAAAAAGGGAAAAAAGGAAAGAAAAATGGCCGTAAGAGCACCCTTGCCAAAAATCTAAAATCTTTTGTGTTTTCTCCACAAATATTAGTAAAAATCTTAAAACAAAAGTTAGGTTTGTAACTAGGGAGCTTTGAATTACTGTACCTGATTCATGGAGTAATTTTAAAACAATAGCTGTGGAATCTCTGTGTATGTGTGTCATATCCCACCTCTGGATGGTGTACATTCTAAAGAGCTCTATTTAATTGGCTTAAAGTAAGCACTTATAGAAATTATTTCTAAATGTAATAGCAACTAACCCAAATGTCTTTAAAGTTAACATGATATAAATTAATCTCTGGTAACTGAAAGCTTATTTAAGATTGTTGGTTTGATTAAAATAGGCATGTCCTCTGGATTATCAGCATTGGATATGATGCAGACATGCCGCCTTTATTCTACATTTGTTGGTCAAATAAGCTAATGTTATCTCTATGACAAAACTGGTTAACAAAAATAATAACTTAAAATAATAGCTAATTTTGTCTAATGTCTCATCAAGTTTTATGGGCAATCTAAATATAATTATTGGGAGTGAGTAAACTAAATAGATGTGAAAAAGATAAAAGCATTGGGTGAACTTTTTAACAATAATTGTGTGTTATAGCATGTGTTTTAAAAATAACTTCCAAAATCTTTCTGGCAAATTGAAACTTTGAAATTTTGCTAAGTGAAATTAAATGATAAAAAAAATCCATTGAATATCTGAGTCATTTTCAAATAAGATAAAATACTGAAACATTATTGCTAAACATGTCTAAGTTTACTTACTTTGGGCTTCTTATTACAGAGAAACTAAAAGATGTTTAGGTCTATTAGTAAATGTGTCTTGTATTTTATTAAAAATTGTACTATGAAGTAGCATGTTTCTGGAAATTATGAAAAGTGTTTATTAACTTGCCAAACCACAGAATGCTAATGTAAAAGTTTATAATTGCTTACTTCTTAGTTTTCACCAAAAGTTAAGGTCTGTAAGGGTTAAAAATTCTTATTAATATATGTGATTAAAGCTACTAAAAATTAATAAGAGAAACATCTTTGTATTCAAGGAAAGTAAGATATATGTTTTCAGTAAAGAAGGTATACAGAATGGAAATATTTTTGTTTGTTTTGTTAAGAAAGATAAAGTTGTCCTAAAGTACTAGGGAAGAAGAAAGAAGGCATGGGACAAATTCTGAATGTAAAAAGGAAGTTATAGAAGGTTTTTGGAAGAGGAACCCTGAAGAAAGAATTTTGCACATGGCCAAGTTGGCCAAGATCAAAATGAATTCAGTTAAATAAACGTTTTAATGTAAAAAGTAAGCTATTGCAAAAATTAAAATTTTATTTTCTCTCTCTTGAAAGGATGATTTTCTTAAACTTTTAGTCCGCTCTTGATAAAGGCATTATGAAAAGATTTTCTTCAGTAGTCTACCAGAAGAGCAGGTATTTTATGTTTTGTCAAAATAAATTTCGTGTATTGTTTTTATGAGGTCTTTAATCACAGGTGGTAAGGTTTTTCTTATAGCTATTTAATTCTCTGCATATGCCTGAAAATCTTTAATTGTCACCTTGGTTAAATGAATAACTAAGCATTGTTTCATAGGGACCTGTGATATTATGTGGGTAAATGTTATTGACGTAAGTGTTTTAAAAATTATATAACATCCCTAAAATTCTGATCTGTCCTGGTTGTCAGCCATAATTCTTCTTCTTATTTTGAAGAGTTGCATGTCACAGAAATAGCCAAGATTCTCTGTCAGTTTCCTTTTTTGAGTCTTTTGTCATTTTCAGACAGTTGTTGTTTTACTCTGATATTTCTGCAGATGTATTTCATCTTCAAGGAGATTCGTGGAAAGATCTCTGACTTTTACTCTAGAATACAGGTT